GGGGGGGGGGGGGGGGGGGCAAGCCGGTCAGCTGGGGTCCCCTGGTCGACGGTGCAGCTCGTCAATGTCGTGGTCCTCTTTGTCCTCTGTGCCATTCGGCGCCGCCACTTGGAGGTGGAGCAGCACGGCGGCACAGTCCCGCAGAACTGGGCAGAGCGGGTGTCGGATGACTTTGTGGACCACGTTGCCTGCGTGCGGGAGGCGGAACGGGTGCACCTCCCTGAGGAGCGTTGGTAGCGACTATGGCCCTGGTGCTGGAAGGACAATGGCCCACAGCTAGTGCTGTGAACCGGTGACGGGGGACTGTCAGAGTCTCCCCAGGACATTGGCAGGGCATATTTTTGGGGGTTGGGAGGGGTGTGTGACTTCCTTTGTGTTTTAATGGGTCTGGCCCCCGGTTGCTGAGCTTAGAGCACCGGGGGTTGGTGTAGAAGGGTTTTCAAACCAATAAAAAAATTCTGATTTCCTAAAAATTTCTGATTTCCATGGGCGGCGTGCATCGTGGTGACGCTGGCGGGCGGGCTGCCAAGGGAGGGCACAGTGGAGAAAATTTCTGATTTCCTAACCCTAACCCTAACCCTAACTCTAACCCTAAACCTAACTCTAACCATGCAGTTTTGCAAGGTCATGTTTCAACACACATTTTAGCAAGCATAAACTGAGAATTCTAAGACATAATTCAATCAAAATTAAGCTTGTCCAACCTTGCATAGATATTTACTGCAGCAATGTGATTACTCATTCATTTTGCATTAGTTCTTAAAAGAACAAGAGCAGCTTCCAAGGAAACTGATTATAGTTTTCCATATTGATATATTATCATATATTATCTTTGCTACCGTTAATGCTTTGTGAAGCCAAATTCTATCACTCTTTTATACAAAATCAAGGACAAAAATTCAGTTGAAACTATTTCACACAAAGGAAAGTTAATTCCTATCATCCATAAGAAAACAAAATATGTTGGTATTGGCTTTGTATAACAAGATTAAAAAACGGAGAAGGAGAGCAAGAGCAAAGAGATTAGATGGCAGAGAACAGTTGCCTTGAGTATAAAAGTGGAGTCACAGCAGCCTAATTGTCAGCAAAATTCTGGGATTCGCTGAGATCATTCCCCAACACACGGAGCATCATGAGGTGGTTGATCCTGGCATTCGTTTGCGTCCACCTGTCAGAGGGCTTACATAGGTGAGTATC